CTGAAAATTCAGGTTTGTAAAATCCTCAATATAGCATTCTTCTTCTTCAGCATCGGTTGGTAGACATTGAGATCACATACACACATTACTCAAGCCCAGTCCCTCCCCATGCTGATTGAGACAGGGGAAGTTCCGACATCTGCGAAAGAAGCCCTTACCGTCGTAATTAAAGACCCGGCTTTTGCAGGTCTTCCACATTTCAGAAATGCTTTTGTCAATTTTAAATTTGAGGGTTTGGAATCTGATGGTAGTTTCATTTTTCGTTTTCCTCAGTGAGAGAGAGATTCTGATGAAACGGAAAGGCAACCCAAACTAGTCCGAAGCACCTACGAGATGCCCTTTCAATAGAACAATCATAGGATGAAAGAATTAGTAGATGCGGAGACGAATCGGGTATCCCTACCTAGTTAAGAATGACTACAGTGACGTGGCCAATGAGGAGGCATTCAGCAAGCTCGCCAAGACGTTTGATGAGGTTCACGGAGAGCAGAGTGATCGAACAAACCCACAATCGCACAATGTGAGTTCCCGCCTTGACAAGTAAGCCTGGCTGCCATCCTCAGATAATGCAACACGCCAGAGACAGAGATGGGGGCTTGAAACCCACTTCAGTTTTCGCCTCTTTAGCTGACATTTCTGGACATCAGTAATTAGTAGGTGGAAAATAGGTACCTGCCCTCGAAAACGCCCACAGGTGACAAGACATGCAATTACATTGGGGACGGGTAAATATTACGCCTAAATACATTAGTGTGTATATGCTGAAACCCAAGAAACTCAAAATGAAGGCTCACATAGGGAGGAAAAAGAGGAGAAGACAAGACGGGAGAAGGCGTAGAAAGAGTTTGAGAGGGACAAGTGTAAGAAAAACGAGGAGGAGGTAAAGGGGAAACGGGATAAGGAAGAAGGAAAGATAAAAGAAGAGGGCGCAGTGGAAGAGAGGATGGATGACAATTAGTAATGGTGGCAGGTGAAGAAACGAAAGAAGAATAGAACGAGGGGGAGGACGACCACGGGGAGGAGGAAGTGGGGAAGGAGGAAGAGTAGAAGAAAGAAGAAGAATAGGACGAAGGGAAGGATGAGAACAAGGAAGAAGAGGGCGAGGAAGGGGCGGAAGAGGAGGAGGAAGAGGGGGGAGAGGAGGAGAAGGTGGAGGAAGAAGAGCTAGATGAGAGGGAGTAGGAGGAGGGAATGAGGATTATTCGGAGTAAGAGGAGGGGAAGAAGAAGGAGAATGAGGTGCAGAGAGGAGGGAAATGAGAAAGGGGACGAAAA